GGACGTCTTAAGGGAGTTTCACACTTCTCGCTTTGCAGTTCATCCAGGTGGTACTAAGATGTATCACAATTTGAGGCGCCAGTATTGGTTGAACGGGATGAAGAAGGATGTTGCACAGTTTATGGCTAGATGCTTTACCTATCAACAGGTGAAGGCCGAGCATCAAAAACCGGCTGGGTTGTTGCAACCATTGCCTGTAGCGCAATGGAAATGGGAACATGTCGCTATAGATTGTATGACAGGTCTTCCAAGGTCACGGAGAGGTAACGAAGCCGTATGGGTCATCGTTGACAGATTGACCAAGACAGCTCACTTTTTTGCCTATTAAGGCAACAGATGATGCAGAAGTACTTGGTGTTCTATATGTAAAAGAGATTGTAAGGTTACATGGAGTTCCAGTAACCATTGTCTCGGATAGGGATGCTAAGTTTACTTCGAAGTTTTGGGAAGGACTTCAAGCAGCGTTTGGTTCAGCGTTGCACCTTAGTACGCCATTCCATCCATAGACGGACGGCCAATCAGAACGTACTATCCAGATCTTGGAAGATATGCTTCGGGCATGTGTGCTTGATTTGGGAGGCAGTTGGGAGGATCACATTCTACTCATCGAGTTTGCCTACAACAACAGTTATCAGGCAAGCATTGAGATGGCTCCATTTGAGGCATTGTATAGCAGACCATGTAGGATCTCCAGTTTGTTGGACTGAGGTAGGCGAGACAGCTACCTTAGGACCCGACATTATACTCGAGACTACTGAGAAGATTAAGCTGATTAGACAGAGATTGCTCATAGCTCAGAGTCGATAGAAGAGCTATGCAGATAAGCGGAGACGACCGCTATCTTTTGAGGTCGGAGACCATATTTTTCTACGGGTTTCTCCACAGAAGGGATTGATGAGATTTGGAAAGAGTGGCAAGTTGTCGTCACGTTTCATTGGACCGTTCGAGATTCTGAACCATGTAGAAGAGGTTGCCTACAGACTCACTTTACCACCACAGATGGATAAGGTTCACAATGTTTTTCATGTGTCGATGCTACGAAAGTATGAACCAGATCCATCTCATGTTCTGGATTGGGTTGACGTGGACATTGATGAAGATGTCTCCTATGAAGAGAGACCAATGCAGATCCTTGACACACGACAAAAGGTGTGAAGGGGCAAAATAGTGCAGTTAGTAAAGGTTCTTTGACGACACCACGGAGTCGAGGAAGCTTCTTGGGAGCTTGAACATCAGGTTCGCTCCAGGTACCCAGAGTTGTTTTCTTCCCTAGGTATGGCTTGATTTCAGGGACGAAATCCTTTTTAAGTTGGGGAGATTGTGATGTTTTTGATTTTCAGCAATTTTCATTTTTCTGGAATTTTGTTACTGCAAGGGTATTTTGGTCATTTCATTTCTACGTGCGGGATTTTGGTTGAGTCCAATTGTTTTTGGTGCATTTATTTTCATGTGATTTATGTAGCAATTATAAGTGGTGTAGATGGAAGTTTAAAGGAAAAGAGAAAATAAAATTAGAAGTGGAGGGACCCACTACCAAGATTTAAGTGGTCTAAAGACCACATCCCCTCTCACTTTCTCTCTCTCCTTGTTATTTTCTTTCTTCCTCTATTTCTTCTTCATTTTTCTTCCTTTTTTGCTTCAAGCTTTGAGTCAAGATTACTCTCTCAATTCTTACCGGATTAAGGTGCCATTTGAGGCAAAACGAAGAGCACGACAAGCTCTACGCACTAGTACCAGAAATTCCAGCTTTGGTGCCCTCCTTGGATTTCGAAATTTGGAACCCATTTCAAGGGTTTTGTCCAATCTTGAGGTAGGTGCTTCCTAATCCGTATATTCTTGCACCTTAGTGAGTTAGTCTACTTGAATTGTGTTTAAGCATGCTTATTTATGTTAATTGTAGCTTAAAATGTCTTGAATGCATATATGTGAGTATATGAGGACTTGACCTGATTATGTTTTGTGAAAAACATGTTTATATGATGAATTTATGCATATTATGTTGTCTATATGCTATGAATGATGTGTGAAAGCATGCTTTATTGTGTGATGTGAAAATCTCTCATTGTAAAAGCATTAAAAGTATGAGTCATGCATGTAAATCATTGGGTTGCATGATGGGAAATGTTTTGAATAAAGAAAAGGGGATTTTTGGGAGAAGTTGTTTTGAATTGGTTTTGAGAAAAAACCCGATTGCCGTAGGGTTACCAAAGGGCCGGTAGGTTAATGTAATCTAGAGAAAACTAGGGAGTCGCCCTAGCGTGGTTGAGCTGTTTGGGCCCTTCGATGACGCTGCGGGTTACCAACGGTCTAGGGACAGTAGCCAATCCTTCTCTCGGCGTTCAGGGGTCACCAAAGGGGGTTACATTAATAGTTTGAAAGTGAAAGTTTTAAATGTGAAAATGGGGAGCGACATCAACATGCATTACATCCCCATTGCATCATATTATTCATATTGAGATTGGAAAACCATGTTGTATTCCTCCCGATATTGTATGACCCCGATTCCTATCGGTCTATTCTTTGTTTGGATTCACGAGGATTCAAGAGGTGCATCTTAGGCACCACTTACTGAGCATATTGCTCACCCCATCATATCTAATATTTTTTAGGTCATGGAAAGGAGCCGGCAGATGATAATCCACCGCAAGCTTGAGAGTCACTAGAAGAACATTTTATCACTTTTGTATCCGGCCATACTTTTGTGTATTCAATGTTTTGGAAATGTAACTATATTGACATCTTAGGCCTTGTAACTTAAACACGAGGTTTAACTTTCATTTGATGTAAATGGGATCAATGTAACCTTGATGTATAACCTTATGTAATTGTAATCAAATGATGTTTTGTAGGATCAAGTGTTGGTACTTTAGTTTATGATTATAGAATGGCATGTTTTTAATCGTTTAAGTCGAGTACAACTCATTCCCAGGTTCCCATCTCAACTATCATTCAATTCAGCAATTGCGGTGCTTCAGCTTCAGATTTTGGGCCCAGGAAAGCCATTTCGGTCGACCGAAATGATGCATCGGTCGACCGAAACAAATCTCTCACTCTCGGTATCTTCATTTCGGTCGACCGAAATGAGGTTCGGTTAACCAAACCATCTTGTTGCTCTCGGCATCTCAATTTTGGTCTACCGAAACAGAGCTTCGGACGACCGATGCTCCACTTCGGTCGACCGAAATGAGATTGTGCTGTTGGCTTCATCCTTCTTCCGGGATTTTGGTTACCTTGTGCGTTTCAATACCCATGGCATTGTTTGGGAGTTTGAACCCAGTGAAGTGATGATGTTTTGATGCTTGAAATGATAGGTTTGACGTAGATGACCTCGGGTTCGAGCAAAGACCCGGCTAACGGTTCGGACCTCCAGGTTTGGGTCGTCATATCCCTTTCCCATTGGAATTTTCCTTTCTTCATGCATTCTGTGATGGGAGCCATAATATTACTGAAGTTCTTGATGAACCTTCGGAAGAATGTGGCTAAGCTATGGAAACTGTGTACTTCTCCCACATTCTTCGGCGTAGGCCACTCTCAAATGGCCCTCACCTTCTCCTCGTCTACCCGAATGCCATCACTACAAACCACAGAGCCGAGGAATACTAGGCTTAGGGTCACAAAGCTAAATTTCTTCAGATTAATGAACAGTTTATTCTTCTTCAAAGCTGTTAATACCTCTCTCAAGTGCAAAAGGTGTTCTGCCTCTGTTTGACTGTAAACCAGAATATCGTTGAAATAAACAACTACAAATCGACCAATAAATGGTTTGAGTACCTGATTCATCAACCGCATGAAAGTACTTGGCGTGTTGGATAATCCAAATGGCATGACTAACCACTCATACAGTCCTTCTTTTGTTTTGAACGCCGTTTTCCACTTATCCCCAGGGCGGATTCTGATCTGATGGTATCCACTCTTGACGTCCACTTTGGTGAAGACTTTTGATCCCGCCAACATATCCAGCATATCATCCAACCGTGGAATGGGAAATCTGTACTTGACAGTGATTCTGTTAATTGCGCGACTATCAACGCACATTCTCCAACTACCATCTTTCTTCGGTACTAGTAAGGCCGGAATGGCATATGGGCTCATGCTCTCCTGAATCAACCCTTTCCATAATAACTCTTCCACTTGCTCTTGTAAGATCTGACTCTCGTTGGGACTCATTCGGTAATGTGGTAGATTTGGCAGGCTGGCCTTGGGCACCAAGTCAATGTGGTGTTGAATGTTCCTCATGGGAGGGAGACTATCAGGTAAGTCTTCCGGCACCAACTCACTAAACTCCTGCAGTAATGGCTGCACTATTGCTGGTACTATAAATGAGGTTGTTTAACTACTTTCCCCTTGCACATAACAACAAAGATTTTAAGGGTAGTTGTTACTTCGCCTATAAATTCCTGACTGTTGATCAACATAATTAAATTTCCTTTGGGAAATTCGGCTTCTTTTATCGGACCCAAAACAATCTTTTGACCATTCTTGTATAGAATATACACATTGTCTCTACCACGGTGAGTGGCATCGACATCAAATTGCCATGGTCTGCCTAATATCATATGGCATGCATCCATGTCGACTATATCACAACGCACCTCCTTTACATATGTTTTCCCAATTGAGAATGGAACGGTGCACGTTTCAGTTACTCGCGTTTATGAGCCTTTCTTGATCCATCCAATTTTGTATGGATGGAGATGTTTCTGTAATGTTTCCGATTTTTTGCCTTTTTTCAATTTTTTGGGATTTTGTTGCCGCAAGGGTATTTTGGTCATTTCATTTTTACGCGTGGGATTTTGGTTGAGTCCAATTGTTTTTGGTGCATTTATTTTCATGTGACTTATGTAGTATTTGCATGGTGGTGCACTATGTATTCATATGTGGAGTAAATTAAATCAAATGGAAAAATGAAAAGTCAAAGGATAGTGGTGGGACCCACCACTGCCCAATTTATGGTCTAGAGACCATTTTCCCTTCATTTCTTTCTATCTCCTGGTCCAATTCTTTTCTCTTTCAGTTTCTCTTCTCTTTTTTCTTGCACTTGACAACCAATCTTTGAAACAAGATTTCTTTCTCATTTCATGCCGGATTAAGGTGTCTTTTGAGGCAAAACGAAGCCCACGACGAACTCTACACATCCATACCAGCAATTGCAGATTTCGTGCACCCTTTGGAGTTTGAATTTTGAGACCTACTTTGAGGGTTTTTGCATTTTAAGAGGTAGGGGTTCCTAACCCATGTGTTCTTGCTCCCTTGTGAGTTATTCCTTGTTAATTGTGGTTAAATGTGTTTAAATTGATGATTAAGATGTTTAATTAAATTGATTGCCTCTAAAATGATGTGATTTTTATGTGAGATTCATATTTATGTGTATATGTGGATTTGTGAAATAAACATGTTTAGATGTTGATTTTACAAGCTTGTGTGTTTGTAACTTGGTAAAATTTGTTATGTGGAAAGCATGCCTTATTTAAATTAATTACCTTGAAAGTGATACAATTGTTGAATTAGAAAATTATGCCTATATATGTGTAATTGTTAATTTATGTGGAGAGCATGCTTGATATGTGAATTTTCCATGACTATGATGATTAATAAATTGTCAGGAAATTTGTGTGGATCTATGTTAATTGTGTAATGATAGTTCCCTCCATTTCCATAGTATAAAATGGGTGTGCATTATGCATTCATGGCATTGGGCATGAAGGAAAAAAGGAAAATGTTTTGAAAACAAAAAAAAGGGAATTTTGGGAAATAAGTTTTTAATAAAAAGAATTTTGAGAAAACCCGGTCGTTGCGGAGTCACCAACGGGCAGGTAGGTTAATGTAGCCTAGAGGGAATTAGGGAGATTGCCCTAGCATGGTTGAGCTATTTGGACCCCTCGATGACACTGCGGAGTCACCAAAGGTCTAGGGACAGTAGCCAATCCTTCTCTCGGCGCTGTGGGGGTACCAAAGGGGGTTACATTAACAGTTTGGAAAGTGACAGATGAATGATTTTGAAAATAGGGAGCGAAATGTGACATGCATTGCATTCCATTGTATTGTATTGTTGATGTTAAGTTTGGATGTGATGTTGTACTTTTCTGACATAGTATGACCCCGATTCCCTCTATTCTTTGTATGAATTCACGGGGATACAAGAGGTGTGTCTTAGGTGCCAGCTACTGAGCAATATGCTGACCCCATTTATTTAACTTTTTTTTCAGGAAATGGGAAAGAAGTGGCGGATGAAAATCCCCCGCAAGCTTGAAGAAGATTAGGAGTTGTATTTTGTTACCTTTTGTATCTTAGCCCATTTTTTTTGTATAGTCTCAAAACTAAAATGTCGTGTGTTCATTTTTGCAAGACAAGGTCATGTATTATAAATCATAACTCTTGTTGATATTTTGAAGGGATGCAAGACTATGTAAATGCTTAAGTTGAATGGGATGACGGTGATGGGCTAACTTGGGGAGGTTGTTGATGTTGTGGTATTGGGGAATGTATTATATTTCTTTTGTATTGTGTGTTGGGACATGTTGGATAGGTCTTGAAAGGCCATCGCATTTTTTTCATTTGAACAAGTTGTGGTAGTACCCTTTTTAGGGGAGGTCATGCCGATTTTTTTTTTTTTTTTTGGGTATCAGTTTAGGGGCGTTACAAATTTGGTATCAGAGCGATGGTTCGAAAACCTTAGGACGACGGGTAGAGGCCTATGTAGGATTACATGGGAAGTTGTTTGCTTTCCGTATGAGATCATTTGTTGTGTGTTTTGATATTTGAAGAAGCATGTTTATTTGTTTACATGCTTATATGATCACATGTTTATGTGTTTAAAATAATGTATACTATTACCAAGATAATGATTGAAAGCATGTTGATTTTGATATGATGATAAGTACGACGAGCATGTTAATGGCGAGTTGTAAGTGCGGATTGTGCAAGTGTGTAGTATGGGGAAACGATGATGAGAATAGAAGGGATAATTAATTTCACATAATAATTTAGTAAATTCGTAGTTTAAACTTATGTGATAGGACACGGTCGTGTCAAAAGTGTTATTTCAGCTATATATATATGCGTATGCCTTGTATGTATACTTATGTACCTTTATGCATGTATGCGGTCAAGCATAGGATAGTTGTGTGTTTTGACCTGAGAAGGTGAGGAGCTCGGTTGCTCCAAGGTTATTTGGGTGTTGGTTCTTGTCGAACTATTGCATGGGTTTCTAGCTCGCGGATTGAGTTATTTTGTGTGCAATCATTTTTATTTTCATGTTGCATTTGGTGAAGCGCTTAGAGCACGACGGTAGAACAAGTTCATATTCATGGCTAGGTGTTTTTATTGTGTGAGGGTGTTCATAGCTTTCAGTCAAGGCCGCATGATTGTATTGTACTGATCTTTTTTCTTTCCATTTTAGAGTCATGCCTCCTAAGAGACGTAGAGAAGCAGATAATGATGGGGAGTAGGGCGAGCTCTTTAAAGGGAATCTTTTGGTTAAGAATTTAGTTGAGGTTACGACAAACTTTGTACGTGCAGTAGTCATGGAAACTCAGAGGTCGATGGTACAGTTATAGAGAAAGGACGGATCAGGAGATAGGGATTTGTGGAATCAGGTTAAGGAAGTGGAGATGTTGTCCAAAAGTCATGTACGAAAGGTGTTAAAGGGTGATTCTTTTCATTCCCCCATTGTTTTTACATCATCACTGGAGACATCCCCTAAGATTGAGAAGGCTTGCTATAAGTGCAAGCAGATAGGTCATTTGAGAGCAGAGTGCCCTTGGGATCGGCCTAGTTCTGGAGTTTGTTTTAAATGTGGTCAGCCTGATTATAGGAAGAAGGATTGTCCCAAAAGAGGTGGAATTCCAGTTGGCGAGGTAGGTTCAGGGTAAGGACCGACTCGACCTTCAATATCACAAATCGGTGTTCAGCTTGGAGAGTCACATAAATGGCAGACTCAGGATTGTATAGTCAACCTCGTTGTTTTACCTGTTGAATCACCAGAGAGACTTCCTGTAGTCAAATGTATGTAATTGCATTAATTTTTAGCATTTTATTGGTGTTTCCTTTTGGGTAAGTGTTTGATCTAACGAGTAATGGAAATAGTGATGGTTATAGTAATGATGTTGAACCTAGGACATGAGGTTTTCTTGTTTAGTCACGTGGATTGCCTTAGAGGGAGTGGATTAGGTGGTCGGTTGAGCGTTAATGATTGATGGCAACATTCATGGTATTAAGGTGACAGTTGGGTGTTAGGTATTTTGGGTTTTATGCTCATTTTTGTTTTGAGGATTCATTAGTTTTAAAGCTCCTTTCTAGTAGTAGGCAGTGATCATTATGGGGAGTATCGAGAGTAATGTTTATTCTTTTGTTATAGTGGTATTGTCTTAAGGATGTTTGAGGAAAAGTCGCTTAGTGGTGGCTTAATGGTCTGGCGGGTTGGTAGGTTTGAACCGTTGTTTCGAATGAGTGGCAGTAGAGGCATTATGGCGTGATATTTTGCATTGATGAGCATAATGGTTTTAGGCATGATTCAAGGATGGATTAGAATTAGAAGTGTTATTGTACGTTGTCAGGTTAATGATGAGATTGTGCGCCAGTTAAAGCGATTGTGGACGGCTTAGTTCTTAGAGCCGGCAAGAGCGGTGCTGCCAGATAAATACTTTTTCTTTTGAGGAGTCAGTGGATTATTGTGATTGAAGTTACGAATCCAGTGTGTACGATGACCGAGGCAATGTCGCCTGGGTTGGTATGGTTGAAGTGGACAGTAAGGTGTCGTTATATTTCACAGAGTTTCTCATTTAGAGATTATCGGGTAAGAGGGGACGCGGTGTCCAACTTACAGCAATGTTTCTTATTGTTAGTATATTAAGGGCGTTGGTGCTTTTATCTGGCTAGTTTTGGTTAGCGTAGTGTTGCGGAGAAGTGTGTGCGAGGCATTTGTGTTAATAGAGTGTGACAGTTTGTTTGTGGTGAGGTCGCCTAGATTGGTGTTCATAGTTCTCTGTGTGTTACTAGTCAGTTCTTTTCCTAGTGCATAGGAAGTTCATTTCATCTCAGGAGCGAGTGGGGGTCCATGGTTGGACAGTTGATGAGTAACGTGTAATAGGGTGTCGGGTGCATACAGGTGCAAGTTGTTGGTCTCTTGTGAGAGCGGGGCTTGTTACTCTTCCGTTTGTTTTAGTCTTGGCAAGGGTGTTATGTAACGACCCAGCTCTTCATGGATCCAGATCATTAAACGGGTCCTAACCCGACCCAAAAAGGTCCAAGGGTGAAACGGTAATTTCACGTTAAATTAAAATGTTGAGTTCTAAAAAGGGTAAGATGGTAATTTGCTATATTTCAATAAATTAAGACCCAAAGGACGTCATAGTCATTTACGTGCATCACACAATAATTAAAATAAGGTCCGGGGTAAAATAGTCCTTTTGGGGCAAAAATATAATTACGACATTTAATTGGGTCATAAAAATAATTAATTTCAACTTCAAATGATGCCAAAGTGTAATTTTAAGAACTTAAATTGGTAATTACATGAAAAGGCAGAACCGGTCAACGTATACTCCTTATACGTCGACTGGTTTGGGATATGAACAGTGGGAAAACCCACTGCCATGATACCGGTCAACTGGTTTGGATACTAGTCGACTGGTTCTGAACATAAGTTACAAAGGATACCCGTCGACTGGTTTGGGACGTGAATTGCTCAAACATACTGTGAAGATACCGGTCGACCGGTTTAGGTTAAACGTCGACTGGTTCAAGAAAATCTTCACTCCCACTTTCCACTGTCCTGTGTGACCCTGTACTCCAACTTTTAATCGTTCAACCACCCACGTCACATCACTTACGTGCAAAATTAATACATTTCAACAATAAATTCGAGTACAACAACCACGTTATTAACATAATTTACCACACGTCACTAAAATACACTAGAGGATTTAGTGTAATTAAAAGTTAATTACATTTTAACATCAAATAAAACTACAACAACCATCAACAACATGAATCACCACACGTTACTTAAGTACACAAAAGGCTTATGTTTGAATAAAACTTAATTACATTATTCAATGGCCAACATTTGCAAACTTATTTACATTCTCCAAAAACTATGATTATACATGAAATGGCCGAATACAAAATAGCAAAAATCATCTTCTAACAACTTTCAATTTTGAGGTGGATTGGCATCCGCCGGTTCTTTTCCAAGACCTGAAAAAAAAAAAATATATAGTAGGGTGAGCTATATGCTCAGTAGGTGACACTTAAGACTTGCGTCTTGTGTCCCCGTGAATCCAATCAAAGCATAGGCCAATGGGAAATAGGGAGCATGCAATATAGGGAATTAATACATCATTCTAACCAAATTAGAATACAAAGAATGTTATGCCGTGGAATGCGAATGCATGCCAATGTCACTCCCTATTTTCATTCTCAAAATCATCACTTTCAACTATTAATACAGCCCGCCCTTTAGTGACCCTGCTGTGACACGAGAGGAGGATTGGCTAGTGTCCCTGACCCTTGGTAACCCCACGGCGTCATTATGGGGCCCAGCTAGCTCAACCATGCTAGGGCGACTCCCTAGTCCCCTCTAGGCTATATTAACCTCCGGCCCGTTGGTAACCCCGCAGCAACCGGGTTTGCATAAAACCATTTTATCCAAAACACTTTCCCGAAATTCCCAATTTCATTTCGAAACAAATTTCTCCCATTTCATGCAACCCAATGATACATGTATGCACATATATTCCATACATTCAATATTATGGCATTTAAAGAATTACAACACCCAATCAAACATATATCATGTTCAACATTTCTAGAAAGGTCATCAACATAATAAACAAAGCATCATCTAAACATACTTTTCACATAGAATAAGTCATATTCAAGATTGTGAAATTCTCTAGACATCACTTACACAACATTAAAACAATTAATTCTCAATTTAAGCATATTTATTACACAAAGAAGATAAAATTCACAAAAGAGCAAGAATATCATGAATAAAGGGTCCCTACCTCAAGTTTGCACCAAAACCCTAAAGATGGGTCTCAATTTCTAATTCCCTAGGGAGGCTCAAAGGTGGAATTGATGTTACTCACGCGTAGAGCTTGTCGTGCTCTCCGTTTTGCCTCAAACGGCTCTTAAAAACCCCAAGAATTGAAGAAGTTACCAAGATCCAAAGTTTGCTTCTCAAATGGAAGGAAGAAAGAAATGGAAATGAGAGAGAGAAGAAAGTTACGGGAAAGAGGAATGAGAATGAAGAAATGTGGTCTCTAGACCACTTTGTGGTTAATGGTGGGTCCCTCCAATTTCCAATTTTATTTTCCATTTTCTTTTTGCTCTAATTTTACATCACATACACACACAAGTGAACCACTACATAAAAATACTACTCAACCCACACAAATTAAAATGCACAATGCAAATGAACCCAACCACAATCCCGAACACAACATGCGAAAAGACAAAAATACCCTTGTCTCCACAAATT